CCTGCACAACATACACAAATACAGAGTCCTGTTGTACACCTGAAACTAATACAAAGTTATAAATCAATTATAGCACAATTTACATTTTTTTAATTAAAAAATAAATTAATGTGGGGCGCCTGGGTGGCTCAGTCAGTTAGGTGTCCGACGTTGGCTCAGGTCATGATCTCGCAGTTCGTGAGTTCGAGCCCCGCGTCGGGCTCTGTGCTGACAGCTCAGAGCCTGGAGACTGCTTTGGATTCTATGTCTCCCTCTCTCTCTGCCCCTCTCCTGCTCACACTGTTTCTCTCTCTCTCAAAAATAAACATTAAAAAAATGTTTTAAATAATAAAATAAATTAATACGATAAAAGTATACATTTTTTTTAAAAATTATTTTTAAAAAGAATCACTGATAACCACTCATTGATACCAAAGATAAACTCTAGCACTTTATAAAAGCAAGAGACACCCAGACTCCCATCATTTCCCTTCTAGCCTATAATGGTTCTTTAATCCTATGATGGAAACACAAAACTTCAAAGCACAATACAAAATATTAGCTATTCATTGCTACCCAGGTTTCAGAGTCTGAAAAAACAACAGACACAATACTTTCACTTAATCTAGCATGTGCCACATGCTTCTCCTTTCTAGGGTCTAGATCTATGAAGAATTTGCATCTTCAGTACTAATATGGTTACTGAAAACACTCAAGGGTCATATTCAAGAGAGTCCACTGCCTGCAGTCCATTGCTAGGTTCAAAACCTGGTTGTATAACTTACTAGCTATGTAACCTTAGACAAGTTGCCCCAAGTCTAAAATACAGAAAAATAAGAATATTCACTCACAGAATGGTGGTAAGGACTAATGAGACTAACGTGGACACAGCATAGGGCCAGGCACTTGGTAAATGCTCAAGAAACAAAAACACATCATCCCAAAAGTTTTCATAAATACTACAGACTCGAAATATACATTTACTTCATTTTGTTAGAAAGAAAGAAAGAAAGAAAGAGAAAAAGAAAGAAAGAAAAAAGTGTCACCCAGCAGGTAAGACCCCAGAGTAAGGCTTTATGGAGTATCACACATGCTGCCCCAACTTGACTGAAAGTTCACAGAAGGAACGGGCTAGATTCCTAGTTTTATTTTGGTCTCCTCTGTGTCCATCACAGTACCAGGAACTAGAACTAATCCATTCCCCACTCATGAGTTTGAAACACAAAGGAGCACACGTGGGTTCCTCCCAGCCCTGGGAAACAGTTCCATCTTTGGGATATGACCTCTACTTAAATGCCCCTGAAGAAGAGTAGCATATAGATTCCAAGTTCCCCCACCTGAAAGTCCAATGAAAAACTCTGTTCCTAAAGTTGGTCACTACCACCTAGGACGAAACTATTAAAATTGCACATGTGATGTTCAGAATAGACAAATCTATAAAGACTGAAAATACTTTAGTGGTTGACAGGGGCTGGGGACAGGGGTAGCAGGGAGCTGGGAGAAAATGGGGAACAATGGTTAATGGGAATGAGATTTCTTTGTGGGGATGACTGCACAATTCTGTGAATGTAGTAAAAACCAGTGAACTGGATTCTGTAAGTGGGTGAACTATACAGTAAGGTAAATTATACCTTAAAAAAGTTGATACCTTAACATCTGAATTTTTGCCCCACCCCTCCCATCTTAGATTATCAGAACAAGGGTATTCATTATATCTCATTAAGCAGAAGCCAAATTTATAGCCATAAGTCCACACAACCCAACTCTCAAGATGGAAAGACACAGTTCCTGAAAACCCACATCACTCCTTAAAACCAATAGCCGAATTCACTCTCATTTCTATGAAACCATGTTTGGTTTGCCACTGGGTCCATGACACCCACTAAGAAGTCCAATGCATTCTGCAAGCTTTTCCTGCAAGACAAGAGAGAGAGGCAGCCAGCCCAGCCACTGAGGGGAGATGTTAAGCTAGCCGGAAGGTTGAAAATTTAAGTTACCAGAATGTTATTAGGAACAGAAAGAATGTTGGGAGGCTTACTACTATTTTTTTTTTTACTTGTGGAACTTTTTTGGCATAACCACAACATTATGCAAAGAGGATTGCCAGGACTCTTCCCACTGTAACCAGTGGTTAACACATACACAACTGTGTAAGTTATCAACAAGTGGCATGAAGAAGGCATATTGCTTAACTCTCTGCACCCAAACCAAAAAATGTCCCTCTGCTCTTAGTAACGTTTGCTCTGAGTCTTGACAACCCCGAATGCTGGAAGATGATTACAGCCACCAACAAGTGAGCAGTGCTATGCACCGGGCTCTAAGCTAAGTGCTTTCTTTATAAGCACTGAATCATTTGATCCTCACAACACTAGAAGGTCAGGGTGGCTACTGCACAGGAGGAGCTCAGTCAGGCTCAGTGACTTGCCCAAAGTCAACCAGTAAGTGAGTGGGTTAAGATTGGAACCTAGGAAATCCTAAAACTTAAATCTGCAACTTCGTTTCCAGCTACTATGGTCTCTACAGAAAGAAAGCCTTGAACATACAAATTCCTCCCAACTGAGACACTGATTCATCAGGGTAAGAAAAGAGTCCTGAACACAACAGGAGCACCCACAGGAAAGACCTAGACAAATAGGTGAGATCTAGGTCCTTTAGGTGAAAATAGGTCCTTTTTCAGGACAGAAAAAGCTGACTGTCACCAAGGTAGGTCCCAAATTATTTTATTGCTTATCTTCTATGTATCCAGATCAGAGGCTTGGACTCCAGGGAAAAACTTCAAGGGGGTTATTTGTTTATCAGATTCTCAAGGGGATTCAAAAGACAACAGACCTAGACAACAGTTCTGCTTGGGGGTTAAGTTAAGCACAGGCAACTCTGGAATCAGACAACTTGGGTTCAAATACATTCAAATACTGTGTCACCTTGAGCAGGTGACCGACCTCTCTGACCTTCAGTTTCTTCATAAATAAAATGTTAAGTAGTAACAACAATAATCTAGCTGAACTTTAGCAATCCCAAGAGGCCCGTTTTATTGCCTCAGGTTAACACACAAAAGAAATCTAAACCCAGAGTTCTGTGAATACTAATTATAAAATAAAACCATAAAATTTTATAGTTGGAAGAGGCTATAAATCATCTAAACTAGTGTTATTTATATAATTGTCTATTTTTTTCTGTGTAATTAGTTTTAAAAATACCGGCTTTACATTTTCAGTAGTAAGAAGGATGAACAGAAGAAAAATAATACACAAACACTATGACAGTAACATATACTGTATAAGCTCCTAATGATAATGGAATGCCTCAAATCTGGGAAACAGTGATCAACTCTACCCTTTCCACTTAAGAGGTCACATGACCTATTCAACTAATAGTAGCAGTTGAAGAGTATAGTTAAGTACAGCTGGATATACAGGGATTAGAACATTTAGTTCCTCGCTAGTCTTTCTCCCAAGTTACAGGTCTGCTCTATTCCATTAGACAACTTAAATAACTCTTAAACCCTATTACTGCATTATTCCCTCCTACCCAAAGAATTCTGACCCCTGCCAAAGAAATAGTAGCAGGCAAATAAACTGCCAGTCACACAAATGCACCCTACTCATACTCAAGGCAGACATACAAATGCAATTCCAAATACTCGCAGGCTTGGTCTAGGAGATCCATTCTGGGTGAGCAGATGATATGATCTGAAATAAGCAGATGCCCAATTAAAGCCATTACTACCTACCTCTACATTTTTAGAAGCATCAGGGTCACAAAATGACATCTCAGGCACTTGACTTCTGTTAAGTCTCCTTTAAAGAGGCCTGGGAACAATTCTCACAGGTGGGACCCCACTCTGCCAATGTAACCTTTCTTAGCTGAAAGACCTCACCTATTAAGATACCCATCACAAAGACAGAAAAAGAAAAGCCAAAGACAGTTCAGTTCCACTATCTTCCTTCGTGTCATTCCCGGTTCTCAAAACTAAAAGATGAACCCAACTATTTTTAAATGGGTAGAACTGTGAAGGCACCAAAAAGGACCGCCCAATCCAAGAAGCCCATCCCTAGAACGCTCTCATTTGGCCAGGAGAAACTCTGGCTCTGCAAAAGTCAAGGGACAATCACACACAGAATGCAAATTTCAGTGCCCCCCTACCAAAAGGAAATAAGCAAAAATAGTTTTACGAAAGGTTCCAGAATCTTTCAGGACGAGTTTAAACCTCTCCTTTCTGAGTGAGGACGTTGGACATTTCCTCCAAAATCCTGGAGTTTTCAAGGATAATGGGAGAGGTAGAAAGGAGAGCGAGGGAGCGGGAGAGGGAGACAGTCAGGATATGCTCGTTCTATTTTTAAACCCTCGCCCACAGTTTAGAGTAAAGGAACACTCTGATGCTGTACTCCCACCCCTGTCACCTTCTGCTAAACACAAGAATCCGAACCTGCACACGTACACGGCCCTGGATTACTGGCTGCCAACACTCCCCAGAACCGTGAGCTAAGCAGCCCTTCCACCCAGCCCTTCTCTGGCACCGCCGGTGCCTTTCGGAGAAACGGGCGGCCCGGAGACAGCGAAGCAATCACCAGCCGCCTTCTCCTGAGGGGAGGCAGCGCCCCCTTGGCAGGGCACGTTCCAGTTCCCTGGCTGGGTACCCAGGGGTGAGCAAGTGTTCCCCCACGGGAGCCGCAGTGGTGGACGCGATGGGGTTTCCCGACGGGGTGCGGCGCGCCGGGCACTGGCGTCCCAGTCCCGGGACACCTGTGTGCCGCGCACACCCAGCCGCGGTGCCCCGCGAGCACCACTCGCCCTCGGTCACCTCCCGGCCATCCCAGAAAGCCAACGGCTGGGCGGCGGGTCTCCTTCCTCATCGACTCGCCCATCTTACGTCCCCGTCTCGCCCCACTGCAAGCACCTACACCCGTCCCTCAGTGACCCCGGGGCGGAACGGCAGCCGGCGCGCGGGTGCCCAGGGCCGAGAGCCGCCCGACGGCCCTCCCGCCTCAGGGCCCCGTCCCCGCCGGACTCGGGACACTCACTCTTAAGCGCGCTGATGAGTGACTTCCCGTCCTTGATGAGCTCCTTGATGAATTTGTTGGTCTTGTCCAGCTCCGCTTCGTGCGACTTGAGCGTCTCTCTGAAGTGCGGGCTGTCGAGGCAGCAGTCGCTGAATTCGAGCGCGGGGAGCCCCATAGTGGCCGAGTCGCCCAGCCGGGGGGCGCGCCTCCCCCGGCGCCCCGGAGGCCCGCAGCCCCAAGCACGCGCGCGGCGGGACCCCGGCCGGGACCCCCGACGCCCGCCGGCTCCACAGGTGTGGCGCCGGCTCGCCCTCCGCGCGGTGTCCGCCGGCACGCAAGACTCCTGACCCGCGCGGGGACCCAGCGGAGGGGCGGCTGCTCCCGCGGCGCGCAACGGAGTGGTGGGCGGGCAGGAAGCGCAGCGGCGGACCCGCGGCGGTGCCGGGAAACGAGAAGCAGGCGAGCGAGTGCGGCCGCCGCCTCCCCGCCTCCTTCGCCAGTTCGCTCTCCAGCAGCCTCGAGCGCCCTCTCACAGCAGCCTCGGCCGCCCCACCGGCGTCCGGGCCGCTCGAACCTGCTAGCGATGACCTAATCTCAGCCGGACCAATCAACGTGCCCGTCTCAGCCCGACCCCCCCTGCCTCCCGGGGACACCCGGCCATTCCGCGGCTTTGACCCAATCAGCGGGGCCTGGAGGCGGGGCCTCGGGCGGGGGGCGGGGCCCACGCCACCGCCTAGGTCCGCAACACAAGCTCCGCCTTCTCCCGCCGGCGCTGTGTTGCAGACCCGGAGCCCAAGGGGTGATTGCTGCGGTGCACGGGCCCTTGCCACTCCTGATCGTGGCGACTTGCCGCGGCCTGGGTCCGAAGCCGAGGTGGTGCGTCTGCTGGTCTGAGAACCGAGGATCCTAAATGGGCGGAGCATGAAAAAACTGGGAATTGGGGCTGCAGTTCCATTCAGCCCGCCCTGTACGGCTGAGCAATTGAGCTTTCACTCAGAACGCACCTCCCTACCCCGGGAGAACTTCGAGCACACGGAACCACCACGTCAACCCTAAACACACGCTTCTTATTCCAATCAGAGAATATGTGCATCTTAAAATGACAAGCTCTTCTTGCCTGCAGTCTTCCGCCCCCCACAGTCTGTACCCCTCATGGCCACTCCTGCTTAAAACCCGCCCACGGCTGCACCCAGTCGAAGGATCTAAAGTCCTTGTGAGAATTTCAGCCGCCTGTTGTGTTCCTGCTGGGCAACAAGCAAATTTTACATAATCACGTCCTGCCTGTCGTCCTTTGATACACTGTGAGCTTCACGAGGGCACGGACCACTGCAGTTTTCTTGTGCACTGCTGCATCCCCAACACCTAGAACAGGGGCTAGCATCTAGTAACATACTGACAGCTTACCGTGTGCTACGTGTGCTACGCTCCAATATTTGTGGAATAAATGAATAGATCTTTTCCTGTGTACCTCCCCACCTCCCACCCCCAGTGCGCTGCCCTGTTGTCCCTCTGTCCCACCACAGGAATCAATTCCGGCAACTCACTGCACTTGTCAGGCTGGGTCCCACAGTGCTGAAGTGTGAACTCCGAGAGCATAGGGACTGTCCCTGAATAAATTTTTGTATGTCCCGGAACTAGCAGCCCTCCTTCAGTTAAGGTTTTTTTGTTTGTCTTTTTAAATAGGTCTGCTATGTGCTGGCACTAAATAGATGCTACAGATACTAAGATGAATAACACAGAATCAACTTAATTGCTGCTGGTCGCTGGGAGAGACAGGAGAAAAAGCAGTAGCAGCACTGCATGGTGAGACAGAAGGCTTGGGTGCTTGGGGACATGGGGAAAAGGTTACCAACTCAGGGGCCAGAGAAGGCATCAATGTTGAGAATGCAATTGATTGGTTCATTAAATGCATAAATGAATGAATGAATGAATGTGATCTGTTTGCTGTTGTATCTACAAATTTAGACTTGATAGGAGACCCAAACTACTAATAATTAAAATCCTGAAAATAGATGCTCCTCACTTGCCAAGGATGAGAAAGATCTGTTTAATGCTGTTCCAGTGTTCCGGTTCTCTACTGATATGTAACAAATCACACCAAAACTTAATAGTTTAAAACAACAACAATCTTTTTATTTTCTCTCGTGATCTCTGTGGGTCAGGAATCTGGGGGAGAGCTTAACTGGATAGTTCCAGCTTCGAGTCTCTCCCGGGTGGTCAGCTGAGCATCTCCCTCTCCTTGGGTGGGCCCAGGGCTTCTCCGTGTACTCTCTGTGTCCCCTACTTTGGATTCCTCTCTGCACGGCAGCCTCAGTACTCTAGTGTGAATGTCCTAGCTTTACAGGGGGAAAGCTGCATCACCTTTTTCGGCCTAGCCTTGGAAGCCACACACTTCTACCTCCTTCATTATCTACAAGCAAGTCACAAGCCCACACAGATTCAAAGAGAAATGAGGGGCACCTGGGTGGTTCAGTTGGTTAAGTGCCCAATTTCAGCTTAGGTCATGATCTCACAGTACATGGGTTTGAGCCCCACATTGGGCTCTGTGCTGACCTAGAAATATTTTTCCAGCCATGTCTGAAAAAACAATCTGCTACCTTGGGCCTAGCACCTGATATTCAACAAATGTTAAATGAATGAAACAAAATAGGGGCCATGATGATTTATCTTCTTCTATTGAGGAATACTAGACAATTAAAGTATAAAGCAATATGTATGTGTATTAGTAATGTGTATGAGTAATATATATGTAATAATAATAATGATAATGGCTATCATTTCTCAAGCTCTTAGTTTGTGCCAGACACTGTGCTAAATTATTTACTTACATGCATTTATATTGGTAGTATGATAATCCCCATCTTTCAAATGAGAAATTGAGGCCCAGAATTGTAACTTAAACCAGATTACCTAAGAAGTGTGTGTGACACATACACATACACAAACATATACCTTAATATGCCCATTTACAGGCAAATATGTGTGGATAACATTTGACTTCTTGTTAATTTAATCCAGGATTTCCATAAACACCTCCCATACTTCAGGCAGTATTATCACAAAAAGAGAATCAGAATGCAGTAGTATTGAGTACAGAAAGTGGCACATAGAATTTGCAGTACTCTCTCTCTCCATAGAAAATAAGCTCCGTGAGGTAAAGATTTGTTGTCCACTGCCACAGCCCCAGCTCTGAGAACAGCAATGGGTACTTCAGAGGTGCACACTGCCAACAGGAGGGACACAAGTTTGATAAGGAAGAAACAGCAACTTGTGTGACAACATAGGTTGTAGCTATGACTGCCAGTAAAACAGAAATCACCTTCATAAGAAACACAGAAATAATTTAAGCAAAGGGCTAAGTTGGTTGGGCATGTGAGCCATGATTTCAGCTCAGGTCATGGTCTCATGGTTGGTGGGATAGAGACCCACATTGTGATTTTCTCTCTCCCTCCCTCTTTGCCCCTCCCCCGTTCTTACATGCTGGTGCTCATGCATACTCTCTCTCTCATTCTCTCTCTCTCTCTCAAAATAAATAAATAAACTTAAAGAAATAATTTAAACAAAATGATTTTGCCTACATTCTTAGGAAGATGTCTGAATTCCTTCAAATTAATCAAACAATAAGTCCAAATAGTTCTATTTTCAGTATCAGTGTATTTTAAATCCGTATTATTTCTGACTTCAGTTGTCCAATTAATTGTCCATCTACATACAATGATCTTCCATTTGTAGAAAATTGGAAAGCATTCTCATATATGTTATCTCTGAGCCCAGATAAGCAGAGGTGAGCATAGGCCACTCACGGCTCCTGAACACAAACGGGAGAACAGGGCTGGTCCATGATGAAGGTTCATAGGTCCTCCTGTCACTGAGGACCAGAAATAGACATAGGCTCCGGGGGCTTAGGTGATGACATCAGCACAAGATTTCTCTCTCCATCCCACGAACTGACCTTCCTCTAAGGTGTCTTCATTCTCAGTGGCTCGCTCTGCTCTTCCAAAGTTATATCCAGCAATACTAGCAAGAAGAGAGTTTTCTTTCTAAGAATTATAGCAGAAATTGCAAGACTAAAGTCAGGGGTTAAACAGCCCTGCTGCTAACACATAAAACATTGGGAGGAGTTGTTTTCCCCAAGGACAAGCAAAGTGCTGTTAACAGGAAAAGAGGGAATTAATGCTGAATAGACAGAAACAATAATATGCGGTACAACTGACCAGTCCCCCAACCCCCTAAAAATGAATGCTCCTTCTGCTACATCTACATGGTTTTGCAAATCTATTTAGCACGTATTCCCTTTTTTTATAGTCAATACCATATGTTTCTTTACACAGTGACTTCACCTTTGTATTATTACTGGATAAGACATCAGTTTTCCTGTTTTAAAAAATGATTTTGAGGTGATGTTGTAAATATTCCATGTATCAGTCGTGGCCATGGTTACATAGGTGTTGACATTTGTCAAAATTTATGGGTACATTTTCTTGTGTCTAAACTATAACTCAATAAGTTTGCAGTGAAATATTTTAAGAAATGATTGTAAGAAATATTTTAAGAAATAATGATGATGGTAGTGATATTAATGATATTTATTTAGCTTTTTTTGCATAGTAGGATCTGTGCTAAGTACTTAACTGCATTACCCACCTTTACTAAAATCCTAGGAGGTAGGTACTGTTCACTATCCTTATCTTACAGATAAGGCAACTAAGAATGAGAGAAGCAAGGTGTCTAAGGTCACGTAATTAGTGGTGGAACTAGGCTAAGAATTCAAATCTATCTGTCTTAAATAACTATCCAGCTGTAAGATATCTATAAGAGAGACATTTTATATATCTAAAAATTAATAATAATAGCCAAACCAAAAATTGGAGTAAGATCACTCATGAAGAGGAGGTATCTTATTCTGAAATATCTGTGGTTTTCCAGGACCATTTCTGGTATGCCCCCAATATATCAATAATTATACAAGCCTCTAGTTTGTTTTGGCTTTAAATCAAAGGCCCTGCTGTTAGTGTGGAAGCAACTGACTGAAACAAACCTGAAATCCTCATTTTCCCTGAAAGAAGAAAGTAATCTATCCTTACAAGTCCAGTTGCTTTCCAGTTCTTCAGAGAAGGTGGTGGCACTTAGTTAACATTCTTTGGCTCAAGAAATTAATGAAATTCATATTACTTG